TTAGGTTAGTGTGGTTTGCTTTCCTTTATCCTTAGTTGTAGTCCCTTCCCTAATATTTCTTTGTAGTTTTTGTAGTATTTGCAAAATAAAAAATATCCCTCCGGGGATTTAAAAATAATAATAATGGGTTTAAATTATGGGCTGCATATTAGGAATTTTTTTATTTACAGTAAAAGTTGTTCGGCAGTGGAATCAGCTGCCTAGGGAGGTGTTGAGCTCTTCTTCACTGGCAGTCTTCAAGCAGCAGCTAGATGAACATTTGTCAGGGATGCTTCAGGCTGATCCTGCATTGAGCACAGGGTTGGACTCGATGGCCTGTATGGCCACTTCCAACTCTATGATTCTGATATGACACTTTGAAGCTAAAGCATTGTGAAAGAAATAATGAGGTGGAAGAGTAAAAAAAAAAATAGGAGTCAATCCACTGTGTGAAGCATGGATCCCTTACATGGTGCCTGTGGGTGCCATAGTGCCTTTTATGATGCCCCCAAGTGTTTCTAAAAAGTGGGTGAGGCCAGATGGGGCTTTTGCACAGCAAAGCTTATGATTAACCACTGGAGATCTGATTGGCTGTGCAGATTATTAAAAGTATTCCTTTGGCAGCAGCTTCCACCACAGCACAAGGATCTTCACTGTGTAACTGAAGGTAAGCTGGGGCAACCATTCTGTAGCTGGCTCCACCTCTTGCAGCAGCCACTTAATGGCAGGCATTTTGTGGCTGCGCTGACTACACTGTGTCAGAATTCCAAAGATGTCTGCAGGCTCAACAAAGTCAAAGAATCCTGGTCTGAAGTTATCCTTCAACAAATATACCATTACAAAACAGAAAATATCTCTCCTAGCACCAGCAGCCCATCAACTAATTCTTCTCCAATTACCAAGTACTAGAATTTGATTTCGGTCCGATTCCAAGGCAAACCATTCAACATCACAGTAATCCAAGTCTATGCCCCAACCACTGATTCAGAAGAGGCTGAAGTGGACCGGTTCTATGAAGACCTACAACACCTCATAGAACTAACACCAAAAAATGATGTCCTCATCATCATAGGGGACTGGAATGCTAAAGGAGAAAGTCAAAAGGTAACCGGAATAACAGACAAGTTTGGCCTTGGAAAGCAAAATGAAGCAGGGCAAAGGTTAACAGAGTTTTGTCACGAGAACACACTGGTCATAGCGAACACCCTTTTCCAACAACCTAAGAGGCGACTCTACACATGGACATCACCGGATGGGCAACACCGAAATCAGATTGACTATATAATTTGCAGTCAAAGATGGAGAAGCTCTATCCAGTCAGTAAAAACAAGACCTGGAGCTGACTGTGGTTCAGACCATGAGCTACTCATTGCAAAATTCATACTTAAACTGAAGAAAATTGGGAAAACCACGAGGCTATTCAAGTTTGCCCAAGATCACATCCCTGATGAATATACAGTAGAGGTGAAGAATAGATTCAAGGGTCTGGATTTGATAGATAGTGTGCCTGAAGAACTATGGACGGAGGTTCGTGACATTGTACAGGAGGCAGCAATCACCACCATCCCAAAGAAAAAGAAATGTAAGAAAGCAAAGTGGCTTTCTGATGAGGCTTTACAAATAGCAGAGGAAAGAAGGAAAGCGAAAGGCAAAGGCGAAAAGGAAAGATTTACCCAACTGAACGCAGATTTCCAGAGAACAGCAAGGAGAGATAAGGAGGCCTTCCTGAATGAACAGTGCAAAGTAATAGAAGAAAACAATAGAATGGGAAGGACTAGAGATCTCTTCAAGAAAGTTGGAGAAATCAAGGGAGCGTTCCATGCAAAGCTGGCCATGATAAAGGACAAAAACGGTAGGGACCTAACAGAAGCAGAAGAGATTAGGAAAAGATGGCAAGAATACACAGAAGAACTATACAAGAAAGACCTCGATGTCCTTGACAACCACGACGGTATAATCACTGACCTCGAGCCAGACATCCTGGAATGTGAAGTTAAATGGGCCTTAGAAAGCATTGCTAACAACAAAGCTAGTGGAGGTGATGGTATTCCAGCTGAGCTATTCAAAGTCTTAGAAGATGATGCTGTTAAAGTGCTGCACTCCATTTGCCAGCAAATTTGGAAAACGCAACAGTGGCCACAGGATTGGAAAAGATCAGTATACATTCCAATCCCAAAGAAGGGCAATGCCAAGGAATGTTCAAACTATCGCACAATTGCACTCATATCACACGCTAGCAAGGTCATGCTCAAGATCCTACAAGCTAGGCTTCAACAGTACGTGGATAGAGAACTACCAGAAGTACAAGCTGGGTTTCGAAGAGGTAGAGGAACTAGAGATCAAATTGCCAACATTCGCTGGATTATGGAGAAAGCAAGAGAGTACCAGAAAAATATCTACTTCTGCTTCATTGACTATGCTAAAGCTTTTGACTGTGTGGATCACAACAAACTATGGCAGGGCCTTAAAGAGATGGGAGTACCAGACCACCTCACATGTCTCTTGAGAAACCTGTATAAGGGCCAAGAAGCGACAGTTAGAACCGGATATGGAACAACTGATTGGTTCAGCATAGGAAAAGGAGTACGACAAGGATGTATATTGTCGCCTTGCTTATTTAATATATATGCAGAGTACATCATGCGAAATGCTGGCCTGGATGAATCACAAGCGGGAATTAAGATTGCTGGGGAAAAGATCAACAACCTCAGATATGCAGATGATACCACTCTAATGGCTGAAAGTGAAAAGGATCTAAAGAGCCTCTTGCTCAGAGTAAAAGAGGAGAGCGCAAAAGTTGGCTTGAAGTTCAACATCAAAAAAACTAAGATCATGGCATCCGGCCCCATCACTCCTTGGCAAACAGAAGGGGAAGTTGTGGAAGCAGTGACAGACTTCATGTTCCTGGGATCCCAGATCACCGCAGACTGTGACAGCAGTCATGAAATTAAAAGACGCCTGCTCCTTGGGAGGAAAGCGATGGCGAACCTAAACAGCATGATAAAAAGTAGAGACATCACCCTGCCAACAAAAGTCTGCATGGTCAAAGCAATGGTAATCCCAGTACTCATGTATGGCTGCGAGAGTTGGACTATAAGGAAGGCCGAGCGCAGAAGAATAGATTCTTTTGAACTATGGTGCTGGAGAAGACTTGAGAGTCCCTTGGACTGCAAGAAGAACAAATCAGTCAATCCTCAAAGAAATCAACCCTGACTGTTCCCTGGAAGGCCAGATAATGAAACTGAAGCTCAAATACTTTGGCCACCAAATGAGAAGGGAGCACTCACTGGAGAAGACCCTGATGCTGGGAAAGATTGAAGGTCAAAGAAGACGGGGACAGCAAAGGATGAGATGGTTAGACAGTGTCATAGATGCAGCGAACATGAAACTGAGCAAACTTCAGAGGACGGCGGAAGACCGGAAGGCCTAGCGGGAGCTGGTCCATGGGGTCGCGAAGAGTCGGACTCCACTGTGCGACTGAACAACAAAGAATTTTAGTTGCATGGAATTTCTTCTTCCTATCCAGTTGCCAGAATAAGATGATGCTTTAAAAATAATTTTAATATTTTAAGAGGCAGATGCTTCTGAAAAGTCAATAGTATTGTGACCTGGAGAGGGGATAAGGCTGCTACCAGAAGCCCATGCCCAAAGTCACTCTAGCAGGCCTGTAGCTACAGTGGGGCTTTTGGAGGCTCTGCCCTTTTAAAAAGCCTATCCTGAAAACCCCATATTTTATTTTTTTTTGCATTACACTGATCCGATCCATTGGCGAGCTGCGCCTGGCTGCTCTCAGCGACATGGCGCCTCTCGGGCCCTGGCAGGGTGGGCTGCCCAGTTGCTTTCCCCTAGTACCCACCTTGCATGTCCCCCCTTGCCTGGCCAGTGGCCTTCAAGATAAGGGGTGAGAGGGGGAGGGAAATTGCTGTGGCCTGGCAGTCTTCCTCTGGATTGGCACCTGGACAGTGCGGGGCTGCTTCCCCAAGGAAGGCACAGATTGGAGACAAGGGGAAGAAATAGCTTTTTCCAGAGTGCAGGGCCCCTCTGCCATCTCCTGCCTTCCCAGTGGCTTGCTTCGGATCCGCGCCCGGCTCTCTCTTCCCGAGCCCTGCCTCCTTTTTTGCAGCCTACTGGCTTGCAAACTTTGTTTTCCTCCTCCGTTTCCTGCCTTTGCAACTTTTCCAGCTAGGGGATCCTCAAGTGATGCTGCCCTCTTTCTCCCTTCCTTGCCTCATTCCCATGAATTCACACACACCCAGCCAAGCTCTCAAAAAAATTAAAAACCCCACCTCCAAATAAAATCTTAGCTGGACCTGCACTCTGGTCTTATGTTCTTTTTATAAAATAACCCTTGCAGAGATGGCAAGGGCAAGCTGAAATGCACTTTGTGCTAAAGGAATTTTGTGAAGCAAATAATTGGCACCCCTTCCTTTTCTAGAGACATGTTTTAAGTCTGTTGTTTCCCTATTTTAATTCCAATTCAAACTGAGCATGTTAATTTACTTCAATATTTTCCTATTTACTGATTGAAATTTCAATTGCTTTTAGGTTTTTCTTTTTATGGAGTGAGGTCAACAAACAATTTAAATTAGGTTATCCCAGATGTGCAATCTCTTCCTCGGTTTCCATCCAATTATAGTCAGGGGTGAGGGCGGTAAATAGGCTATGGCAGTTGCTCAGAGGCACTGTTCCTTTCTTTTAAAAAGTCTTCCCTATGCATTTTGTGTATGGTCAGAGGCACTGCATCTTTTTTGCAGAACTCGCAGCGCACGTCTGGACTTGGTATGTCTGAGAGGAAAAATCTGAACCTGGCTCTCCTCAGATCCCAGCCCACCATCAGCTCTACTCGCGGGGAATCCGTCAGTGCACAGGCCGGTGATTGGCACATTCCCACCCACCCGGTCGGCTCTCTCCTGCCCTTCCTGAGGGGACGCGAAGCTCCCTGGGGGGGTGGGGGAAGGGGGGAGCGAGGCAAAGCGCCCTCCCCTTAAAGGCAGGGAGTGGCGGCGGCCGTTAAAGGCGCCCCTCCCCCACCACAGGCCCCTCAGCAGGCGGGGCTGGAAGGCTGAAAAGGGAACCCGGCTGCAAGTGCGAGTGAGAGCCGGGGGGGGTTAACTCCTTCCTGTCCGAGGGACGGCCCGACAGGATTTACTTTCTTTACCCCTCCGATGAGGCGACGCTGAAGGGGGGGGGAGTGAGAGAGAGCGCGCGCGAACCGGGCCGGCCAGACGCCCGGTGCATTGTGGGACTGGCTGACTTGAGGGGGGACGAAGGCGGGGAGGGAGTCCCGTTCGCGGGCAGGCGAGGCGCTAGGGACACGGTAAGAGGGAGAGCATAGCGGGGGAGGGGACGGGAGGCTTAAAGGGGAACGCGCTCACGTCTTGGCCCTGGCCGGCGGTCTTGTTCCGTGGTGGGAGAGAAGCAGCTCCGCCTGCCAGTGAAAAGCTGGGGTTAGTGGCGGGGAAAGAAAAAGAATGGCGGGCGGGGGGGC